GGGGAGCTCCTGCGATGGCTCCTTCCTCCTGGACGCCAGCTTTGCCCGGGCGCTGCGGGTGGCCGTCGATGGCCTCTGCTTCAGCCTCGAGGACACCGACGGGAGCTATGGGGGTGAGCCAAGGGTTCCCAGACCCTCACTCCGACCCCGAGCATCGTCACCTCCTCGGGGAAGGTGGCCCCCTCATGACACCACGGTGATATCGCCACCTCCCGCCTTCTCCCCAAGCAGGTCCCTCACCACCATCATCACCGTTGGAGGGGGTCTTCTCGCCCGGGGTCCCCATCCCCACCTGGGACTGGGGGACGGGGATGGGGGTGTCACGGAGACCTGGGATGGAAGCGGCCGTGGGCGTCCCGCAGCACGGTGAGCGGCGCCCCGACGCAGGGGTGATGGGCACCAGGGGTGGCGCGGGATGTCACTCGTTGCGGGGTGCTGGAAAATGTCCCCTTTTCTTTTCAGGTGGCCACGGGATGGGGAGTGGCAGGCCCTGGGCCAGGGCGGGGGGTGAGACAGGGACAAGAGGGGCGGGACCGTGGCAGTCCCCAGGGTGTAGGGCACGGCAAGGCCAGAGTCCCCTCAGCTCGGCTAAAATCCAGCTTTATTAAGCAGTTCTCCAAAATGGGGCTTTTTGCTACCAAAAGCCACCCACAAAGGGTGGGTAGCACCAAGGTGGGTGGGTGTCCCAGCGTCCTTGTCCTCCCCAAGCGTCCTCATCCTTCCCCAGTGTCCTCATTCCTCCCCAAATTCCTCATCCCTCCCCAGTGTCCCCATCCCTCCCCAAATTCCTCATCCCTCCCCAGCATCCTCATCCTCCCCAAGTGTCCTCATCCCCTCCAAGTGTCCTTGTCCCTCCCCGGTGTCCTCCTCCTTCCCCAGCGTCTTCATCCCCCAACCATGCTTGCCCAGCCCAAGCACTGTTGTCCATTCCAGGTGTCCCTGTCCTTCCCCATGGTCACTGTCCCCCAACCGTCTTCATCCCCACTGACAGTTCTCATTCCTCCTGACTGTCTGCATCCTTCCCCAGTGTCCTTGTCCACCCCGACCATCCTTGGTCCTCCCAACTGACTTCATCCCTCCCAAGCCACCTTGTCCTTCCTGAATGTCCTTGGGCCCCCTCCAAGTGTCCTCATCCCTCCCCGTCACCCTCCTCCCCAGGGTTCTCCTCCCTCCTGAGCATCCTCACCCTTCCCCAGCTGTCCTTGCCCCCCTCCAAGTCTCCTTGTCCCTCCCCACCATCCTCGTCCCCCTGTGACCATCCTTCTGGTCCCTCCTTACTGTCCTTGTCCCTCCCAAGCAACCTTATCTTTCCCAAGTGTCTTCTTCATCCCAGCAATACTCAGCTACTGGGTGTCCTCGTCCTTTCCCAGTGTCCTCATCCCCCAACGTTCCTCCTGGGGAGGGACACTCCCCAGCACCCTCATCCCTCTGCAGCGTCCTTGTCCTTGTTCCTCCCATGTATGCTTGTCCCCACAACTGTCCTCATCCCTTCCCACCATCCTCATCCCTTCCAGCCATCCTTGTCCCTCCCCGGTGTCCTCGTCCCTCCCAACTGTCCTTGTCCCCAGGGTCCTTGCCCCGCCTGAGCATCCTCCTCATCCCTCCCCAGTGTCCTCATCCCTAGCGACTGTCCTTGCCTTCCCCAAGCATCCTCATCCTTCCTCAAGCATCCTCGTCCCTCCCAAATGTCCTTGTCCCCAGGGCCCTCATCCCTCCTGAGCATCCTTGTCCCTCCCCAGTGTCCTCATCTCTCCCAACTGTCCTTGTCTCCAGGTTCCTCCTCCCTTCCTGAGCACCTTCCGCATCCCACCCTGAGCATCCTCATCCCTCCCAAGCATCCTTCTCCATCCTGGATGTCCTTGTCCCACCCCGAGCATCCTCATCCCTCCCAAGCATCCTTCTCCATCCTGACTGTCCTTGTCCCACCCTGAGCATCCTCATCCCTCCCAAGCATCCTTCTCCATCCTGGATGTCCTTGTCCCACCCCGAGCATCCTCGTCCCCCCCTCGCGCTGCCACCCACCGGCCACCGGCTCTGTGTAACCCTATTTACATGGTGCCACTCAGAAATTAAAGACCGTCCCTCCCGTCCCCCCCATGTCCCCATCCACATGTCCCCAACCCTGCCACGGGCTCGCCCTCTGCTTCATCGTTTCTCCTGCGACGGGCATGGAAATGGGGGACCCGGGCGGCGGCGATGGCCGGTCCCTTCCCCGC